GGGGCCTCTTCTTCCTCCTTCGCCGCCGTCTCGTTTTTCTTTGGTCGCCCGCCCTGTTTTGCCAATCCCTCCCCGGGGCGCCACCACGGCACCGCATCACCCACCTCCACCCCCACCCCCTCAAAGGAGGGCGGCGCCTTTGCCAGCGAACTCCCTTCGCCCCGCCTCCTCTTCGTATGCGGTTTCGCCGTGGCCTTGGCATCGGCGGTGCCCGCTTCATCCTCTGTGCGCTGTCGTTTTTGCCGCCTGGCAGGCCCAGCGCCTGCGAGAGGAACCGGGGGGTTGTCAACATTTTTCTGACAACCCGGCGCGGGAGAAGCAAATAGTTGCTGCCGCTCGCCCCGGACCGAAGCAAGGCTACCGCTTAGCGTTTGCGAGTTGCTCCGCGACGCGGCGGGCACTGAAACAAAGACATCTTCCGATTCGAGGGAAAGCCCTTGACCGCGAACCTGCGAAGCACCGCCACCGGGAGCATGGGCGAGCCCATCGTAACGAACCCGAAGCCTGCCGAGCTGGTCNCCTTGACCGCGAACCTGCGAAGCACCGCCACCGGGAGCATGGGCGAGCCCATCGTAACGAACCCGAAGCCTGCCGAGCTGGTCAAAACCCTCAAAATTTAATTCGTCCAAAAGAGTGCCCGTATGCACTGTGTCAATGTTTATATTGCGCACGAGAACATTGTCATGAAGGCCGACGTCCACAAATGCACCAAATGTCGTTACACTCTGCACGACCCCTGTAAGTTTGTCACCTGGTTTTAGATCCGTCGCTTTCCGAGGAGCGCGACGAAAAAGCCCTGCGTGTGGTAATTCTGAGCGTGGATCAAGCGCTGGCGATGCCAATTCCCGAGCCATGAGTTCTAGCGTCGCCTGGCCGCACCCAATTCGAGTTGCTAATTCCTTCAGTTCCTCATCCTTCATGTGAAGTCCCACATTGCCAACCTCCCTCCTTTCTTTTCCCTTGTACAGCTCAAGCAGTTTATGTACTGTGGCGTAAGACTCTGGATGGATGTTGGTATTATCCAACGGATTTGAGGAGTTTGGAAAGCGGAAAAAACCTGCAATTTGCTGATACACTGCTTCCGTCATACCTGGAACCCGACGCAGATCCTCACGGCTTTTAAGCTTCTTTGAATGGCGCATAAGAACAATTTGATCCACCATTCGTTTCGTTACACCGGGAATTTTTTCCATCACATAGCGATTGGCAGTCATAGCATTCACCCCTACACAAGTCACACAGGACTCCACCACACGATTCAGCGCACGCAACAACTCGGTTTCGCTGATATCGTGCTGATACATTCCAATACCCATGGAGCGCACAGGGATCTTCACAAGTTCACTAAGCGGATCAATGATACGGCGACCAATATTTACCGCCCCGCGGTACATAGGATCAAGAGTGGGAAACTCCTCTTTTGCCACATCCGACACAGAGTACACACTCGCACCTGCTTCACTCACAATAGCATACTCAGCATTCATTTTTTTCTGCTCAATGGTATCAGCAACAATGTCTGCCACCTGTCGTGAGGCGGTTCCATTACCAATAACAATCTTGTTGAGCCTTAATTTTTCAACACAGCTACTAATGTAATCCTTCATATTGGCCTCATCCATTATAGTGCATTTGAAACGGGTGAGAACACCACCATTCTCATCCAAGGCGACGCACTTGACACCGTTGGTGACGCCCGGATCCATTGACAGTAGCCTCGCGTCACGCATAGGGCATTGCAAAAGGATGTGACGAAGACTGTGAGCGAACACAGCAATGGCCTCCTTCTCAGCACTTTTCTTGAGGTCCCGCCGAACGGTGGTATGCGTGGACTTCAATACATGCTCGTACGCGGCCTCAAGGCACTGACTCAGCAAACGACAAACTGCTGGTGGACCTTGCCGTTGTGTTCCAATAAATTTACGTTTTGTCCAAGCAAAAAAGACGCCCCTGGTCCGTCCATGTGGAATCATTTTTACTGCAAGCACTCCTTTACCTTCACCACGCTGCAGCGCCAGGACGTGGTGAGCGCTTATGTGCTGCACAGACCAACGACGATTATCATATGCAGCAAACTGTTTTTTTAGCGTGTCAAACGCATCAGCACCAGCTTCCTTGGCTACTTTTTTTCTTGGAGCTGTCACAACCGAACTGCTAATGACACCACTTTGACGACAATCGACAAGCATGAGTTGTCGCACCTCGTCACAGCGCTGAACTTCCTCCACAATGATGGATTGAAGCAGTTTGGGACCATCAGTAACACAACGCAGCTTCTCTGATATATCTGTGATCGGATCTGCCGTGTAAAGCAATTCCTTTGCAAGAGGCTCCAGGCCAGCCTCACGTCCTCTGTGCGAAAGACTTGTCTTTTTCTCCTTGAAGGGCTCCCACGCATCTTCCAGTTGATTCAAATGCACTAGCTTCTCAAATGCCCCGCGAAGTTCGTCCGTGAGGAGGCCACGATCCTGTAAACTCTTTAGCATGAATGCACGACGCCGGTGCACCTCGCGCAGCTCCTCTGCCATGTCAAGGAGCTGGCGAAGCGCCGTCTCGTCAAGGTGGCCAGTTTCGTCACGGCGGTAGCGGGCCAAAAACGGCACTGTAGAGCCTTTTTTACTCTGCTCCACCACGTAACGAGCGGTGGCGAAAGGGATATCAAGCCGTGCGGAAACGATACGGTATACCTGCGCCTCCACGCTGGTGGTGCTGGCACCACCAATTCCGTCACATTTTTCACCAGCCGCCGCTCCACTTGACGTACGCATAGCCAAACGAGGATAACGTAAGACCGTTGAACGCACTGCTGATAAGCCTTTGAAAAAGCGCAGCATCGGGAGAAAGGGAAGAAAGATATATGTATATATATATATATATATATATGTAGGGGAACAGCGCAAGGGTGCGGTTTGGCCTTCTCGCTCTTTATTCTTAATTTTTCCGCTGCACCTATTTACTGTCGTAGATGCCCTCCCCTTCTTCCCCTCTTCCCCCTCCGTCCCGTATCGCAGTCAGCTGCTTTAGCTGGTACGGGGCTGCCTTATTGGCCTTCCCTCGGCCCTCTTCACTTTCACAAAAAAGACGCACGAGGAAAGAAAACGAAAGGGACGAAACGCACATACACATAAATGTAATTAATCATATAGCATATATATTATCCGGGAAAGGGGAAAGGTAGTTCGCCAGAGTTTCGAAGAGCATACATTACTCTGTGTTGGTGAACCCATTAGGCCCAGGCCCAACGAAAACTAGCGGCTACCCACTTAGAAAAGGGGACAAGAAGTGTCTCAACAGTACTGAAANTATGGACTTGGGTCAGCGTCGGAATATAGTTCGCATCTCAAAGTTTTTTATTCCCGTTATATTTTGTCCCGTTGCTTTACGTACAGGAAAGGAACAAAAGCAGAGCGATCATCTATTTCGCCGTCGTTTCGGCTCTGCACTAATTGGTGTGGGAATATCTTTAAAACGGTCACTTGCAAGCGAAAAAAAGACGATGTTGCTCTTTTATAAGCCTCCCAAAAAAAAAAAGGACAGGCGAGTGGAAAACAAAAAAAAACATATAATCAAGTTATCCTTGATATATTGCTTACCCAGAAGGAAGTGTAGGTCAGCAATAAAAGCCTTTGGACGCACTAACACACATAGTCCATATAATCCATGGGCAGCACACGGGTGAGTCCGGTCTTTTTTTCTCTTCTCAAGCCCGTCAAAAAAAAAAAAGAAACAGGGTTTGATTTTTAGAAAAAATACCTGCTACACTTTCAGCATAATGGGTAGCTGAAAAAGCGAACTCCAGGCGACGCCCAACAGGAGGCACGCGCCCACGGCCCATCCTGCCATGGCGATCTTCCCATCGCTGATGATTTCTTCATACTCCTGTGCGTTCGTCATTGACCTGGTGCTAATGTAGCCGCCAGTTGTTCCGGTGAGAAAAAAACAAAACAAGACATACGAAACGCGAGAAACGGGAGTACAACGTTTTGCAGAGAAAACTAACAACGGGAGAAGCACCACTCGCGCACTCGGACCACTCACAATCCACTTGCAAGGGATTCAGAGATGTTCAAATCAAACAGCTGAACTGACCCAAGAGACCACTCAAGTTGAGCATTTCTATGGCAATGGTTCTATACCGCAGATCGTGTTTGTCAACCGCCAGCATCACTACAGGACCAAGAAGGCACGTGACGACCTAGTTGAAATTAACTGGAATTTGTGTAGGGTAAATTGTCTCGATGGTTGGCCAGCGTTTCGCCGTCTTAAGCAACTCCGCCGTTCAGAGGCCTTCAAAGGCGCCTCCACACTCCACCGCCGCAGCGGAGGGCGCATCGTCCACAGGACCTCTTTAAATGGCTCCATCGGCGAGATCCACAACATCAAATAGGCCTTTGGGCATACTCTGCATCCCACTTCTTTGTAAATATGGCCGGAAACAAATCTGTTTTGGAGCGGAGCTCTGCAACGTCTCTTGGGGCATCCGGCTTCTTCTTCTGCACCAATATCATCGTCCCCCATCGTGGGCGGGCAAGGTCCAAACAGTGCGTACCCAGTGTTTTCATAAAATACTCGTCCAATACCACCCACAAACGCCATCAGCAACACCGCAGCCATGGCGCCTTCCTCGGATACCCCAGACGATGTGGGCAGCAGCAATATAACGAGCAACTCCAGAAGCATCAGCACGCCAGACGCCAGCAAGCGAAATCGAAGCGACAATCGGCAGCAAAAGGTCGTGAGGTTCACCGGTTCAAAAATAGTCTGAGTCACCATGGTAACAACCGTGTAAAACGTAAGCACAGTTTCCCAGAATTTCTCGTTTTTCGGCTCGGTGCCCTCATCCCCAGCGACGTACTTGTAGTAGTCCAACATATAGCTGGGTGCTGAAGTTACCGCGCTTACACCAATCACCATCGTCACACCCATTACGAGACTGGTGATGAAGGTCCAGCACTCTCCGAAACAGCTGAAGAAAGCCATGTTTCTTTCTTTTCACTTGTTTTTTTTTTTTTTTGATGCCTTAGAAGGAAGTGTGTCTTAACCTCCCTTGAGTTTCTTTTCTTCTTCCTTAAATGGATTAAAACGTTTTTTAATACCCTTCACGCTTACGGCTTTGGTGAGATTGTGCCAAATAAAGAGATGGATCCATAATTCCACAGTGGGTCTCCACGGCGAAAAGTCTTTTGGCAACGGCAAATTAAAAGGCATTCGCACTCGTAACCTAACAAAAAAAAATTTTAAGGGTTCTTCTCTTCGCGTAAAGTGCAGAAGAACATGAAGATTCCGGCCTAGTTGCATTTCAGTCGAGGTATACTTCTGGTTAGGAGGAATAAAATACCCAGATTTATACAGGCCTTATGGGAATGCACATGTTAGCAGCTTTTTGCTCCCGTTGCAGGTGCCTAAAAGAACATCAATAATAATTATAATAACATACGGCGAAACCAGGACCCACAGTACCCAATCTCTGGTCACGCACCCCTTTCCCCACCAGCGATGCCCAACGCAAGGCATAACGAAACACCGCGCCAACCCAAACCACAACAAAAAAAAAA